GTTGAACCTCCAACCCTTCCAGACCCGCTGCACAACCACCACTGACACCAACCACCGCACTACCTACCAATTACACGGAAAAAACTAAGATTAATATTCTCATTAGACCCTTTAATGCAGTGCCTGTACAATGGGAACCTCGTTGCCCATTAGCTCATGTTTATCAGAAAATAATGGTGCTTATCAGAAGAGACCACTTTCTCCTTAGCTGGAAGAGCAAATTATTTAAGCCGAGTTTGCTTTATGTTTCATAGCCCTCCTTCAGTCCTTCGCACGCAGGCACATTTAAGGGCCCATTATCTTCTCATTGATGCAAGGGAGTGATGTATGTAGCTACCATTAATGATAATGAAAATGGCTCCTGTTAATCTCCCATGCACTGATAGTAAGATAATAGCCTCCTTATTAAGTACAAGGGCCAGCCTAGGAGTTGCCCTGAAAACGAGCAGCGTATTGCCTCTGTGGAATTCGTATGTAAATGCTAACGCATTGCTCCGTGTCTACAGTCCATGATTAAAAAGAAATTAGTGATAGCATAAACAGGCCTCCAACCACCACAGAGCCGCTCCGGGCCCTCCTTCCATCCCATCCACTCTCCCCTTTGGAGAGTTACCTCTGGAGACCAATGGATGGAAATTGTCCTCTTGGCAATGTGTGTTTGCAGCCAAGGCAGCCAACCTCATCTTGGGCTGTGTCAGAAGAAATGTGGCCAACAGGTCAAGGGAGGGGATTCTGTTCCTCTACTCTGCTCTGGTGGGACCCCACCTGGAGAACCATGTTCAGCTCTGGGGCCACCAATGTTAGAAGGACATGGACCTGTTGGAGTGAGGAGGAGGAGGCCACAAAGATGCTTCCAGGGCTGGAGCCCCTCTGCTGTGAAGACAGGCTGAGAGAGTTGGGGATGTTCGCCTGGAGAAGAGAAGGCTCCAGGGAGACCTTAGAGCCCCTTCCAGTCCCTAAGGGGCTCCAGCAGAGATGGGGAGGGACTTGATGATGGAGGGGAGCCATGGGACTCGAGGGAAGGGTTTTAATCTGAAAGAGGGGAGATTGAGATGAGATGTGGGGAAGAAATTCTTTGCTGTGAGGGTGGTGAGAGCCTGGCCCAGGTTGCCCAGAGAAGCTGTGGCTGCCCCATCCCTGGAGGGGTTCAAGGGCAGGTTGGAGGGGGCTTGGAGCAACCTGGGCTGGTGGGAGGTGTGATCTTTATGGTTTCTTCTTCCAACTCTAACCATTTTATGATACTATCACACCAGGCCTGGGTCTTCAGATCACCCCCCCCCCAAGAAATAACTGACTGAAAAAGACGACGTAATTGGATTTAATTCAACTTTATGGGTAACATCCCCTCAGGAATGCCTCTGGGGG